ATCAAATAATGAAATACGGTTTATTGCTGTAAAATTAAATACGGTCAAAGTCTGTAAAACCTAAAATGTTGCTACCGTACTTTTAACAGGAAAACTCTGGTAACCACAGCTGTCGGAGTTTCCCCGTAAATTTAACGGATTTTTTTTTACAGTGTGTCGTATGATCTATCACTATCATGAAACAATCCATCAGAAGGAGCTGATTAATCCAGTCTCGCTCACAGCTCGTATCTGCATGGAAGCGTTGCGTACACGTTTGCTCTATAGGCATGTCATTGTTTATAGACAATGACTGTTTGAATTGACCAAAGTCAAAAAATCTTCTTTTCAAACCTCATTCTGCAGCAAATGGAGCTCAAATCCTCAGATTAGAGAGCTATTGTGAAAATAGACAACAGATATACAAGTCAGCTATGTTTGCTATTTAGCTGCAGTATGTAACTTTAAAAAAAAAAAAAAAAAAATGTCGAGAGCAAGTATAAGACAGTGATCAGTGTTCAAACCTGTCTCCCTTTCTTATACCCCGATTCCCACGGTAAGCTTATAAAATTGATTTATAATTTGAGGGTCCGATTTCACAGGAAATGTTAGTTTGAGGTCATTTTATTATGACACATCCGTTTATCATATTATATGATATGGCATATGAGGATGCAGTTGCTTAGAATTTAAAACGTATCATCTAGATGGCTGCTTTTAATTTAGAAAAGTCGATATTTGGGGAATCACCGCTTGAAAAACTAAGAACTCAATCTGCTAACAGCATGCAGTCAAAAAGGGAAAGTGCTAAAATGACAATACAGTAAATATTGGCTTTTCAGAGGTGGCGACAACTCTGAGATCTGAAGGGATTAACATGACTGAGCAATCCTTAGATTTAAAAAACAAACAAAAATTACATTTAAAAAATTACATTTTTATTTGGTCCGAACAAAAAAAGCAGATCACACATTCATCACACAGCGGTCACCGTGATTTTGCCAAGTAAGACATGGTCCTGGATCAACATATTTTGTCAACATTCCTGTCCCAAAATGTAGTCCTTACCCCTAAACCTAAATAGACCGATATATCGGCAGGCCGATATTAGGCATTTTCCAAACTATCGGTATCGGCAGTTAAAATTAGAGCCCGACCGAAAAAAGGATTTTGAAGGCCGATACCGATACAAATATTTTTGGGTTTTAAAATCCGATATATCGGCCGATAATTTTTTTTTTATTAAATATTGTTGGATTTCACACACGTGTAAAAGAAAAGCTAACTTTTCTGCACAAGATCCGTTTGATACTTTTTCTCTATGTCTAAATGTTCACTCCTCGCAAGTATAACTTACATTTTACAATGCAGGGACTGTAACTAGAGATATGCTAGTTATAAATACAGTAATCATTACTTTATTTAGGCAGAAAAAGTTCATCGTGGTTTCCAAACTCATTAATTAACGTTAGCGGTCTTCCACTGACGATAGTGGCATTAGCTTGCTTTGTGGTTAGCTAGTCTATGATGAGCCATAATTTAGCAATAGATAACATCATACTGCAAATTGTAAAACATACATTTTGAATATAACAGGCCAAGGAGAGATGATTAAAGCGTGTTTCGTCCGTTTTTATTTTATTTTTTAAATATTCATTTATCGGCCATTATAACTGCCGATACCGATATTATGGAAAATGCCTAATATCGGCCGGCCGATATATTGGTCTGGCTCTAGTTAAAACTGCCGATAAAAAAACATTTCAAAAATAAAATAAAAACGCACGGAACAAGCTTCAACCATGTCATGAGTGTTGGAGTTGTATAGTTTGTCCACCAGAGGGCACTCTACACCATTCCTGTCGGCAACACTCGCTGAGTTGGTCACGATACTGTACATATATTGCTTGAATAACAATTAAAAGAACATCCACATCAGTTCTCTCAACTCAAATAAGCATGACAAAACTTGTGACTACCATGTTCAGTTTTGCTGTTGTTAAATAAGCCGAGAGTGAAGCGGAATTAGCTAGTAATAGTTACGTTACGTTGCTACAGTTTAGTTGACTGACTGTCCTTTTAACTTTAGACAATGTGACTGAAGTATTTCTTTAATAGCGTGTGACAGTTATAGCAATAAGACGTATCATCTCCCCTTGGCCTGTTATATTGAAAATGTAGGTTTTACAATTTGCAGTATGACGTCATCCATTGCTAAATTATGGCTCATCGTAGACTAGATAACCACAAAGCTAGCTAACGCCACTATCATCAATCTGTTCTGTTTCGACAATAAGAGAAACAAGTTTCTTTTTAAAATGCATTATCATTTTATTTTAGTTAAAACTCATAAATAACTACAAATAACTAATGTTAGGGAATCTGTTGCGCGTTTCTGAAAAAAAATACATATATATCGGCCGATATATCGGAATATTGGATTTTAAAACCAAAAAATATTTGTATCGGTATCGGCCTTAACCTAAACCTACCCATAACTTTTCCCTAAAATCAGAGGGTAATGAAAGGTGAATAGGACTGATGTTTAAGTACTTCACCCTGTTTCAAAGCCTAAACTTGACATAAACTGTAAACTTGTCCCTCAAATCTGATGGGTTGACTGGAAAGTTGCTTTTTGAATTTCCATCATAATTTTAGATGTTTGTTCTATTTAATTCATTTAATTACTGACAAAAAACAAACTCTTCCACCCCATAACATTAATGTACTCTAAAAAATGCTGGGTTGTTTCAACCCAAATTTGGGTCAAATATAGACAAACCCAAATGTTGGGTTAAAAAAATGTAATTAAAAAAAAATAACAGTTGAAAGTGAAAGTGAAAAATTTTAAATTACATTTTTAACCCAACATTTGGGTTTTGGGTTTTTTTTCCCCTTGTCAATAATTAAATCAATTAAATAGAACGAACATCTAACATTATGAAGGAAATTCAAAAAGTAACTTTTTTTACATTAACTCCGCCCACCATTGTCTGACTGAGCCAGACAAAATTACAAAAGGAATCCTGCTGATAAGCAGTGGCATGGAGTTTAAGTCGAAAAATACTTTTTTAAAAGGTGAAATAAAGTACCAATTTAGTAGCGAGAATAAAGTGTTTAACAGGTAGGGTTAGGCGGTGTTTAATACACTGATGTGCAAACAGTATCTGCCACTATTTACGTGGTGTAAACAGCATCTAACTACTATTTACACTTAGTGCAAAGATAATACTGTTATTTTCACTTTATTGTAAATAGCATCTAACTCTATTTGCACTCGGTGTAAATATCCGCTGCCTATTTATATTACCACCAATCAGCAAACCTACAGGTTTATACATATTGAATATAAAGCAAAATACATTCACGTCTGCGCACCAGTGCACAACTTCATCCCAGAGCGGAGAAGGCGGCCTCTGTTCATGTTTCAAACTCATATCATATTCCCAAAAACTGTTAATCCTGTCAACAGTGACCCAGTTCTGTCAGGTTTCATCCAGCTTCCTTTGAGAGACTCATATTGTTGCAACAAGTGCATGATTTGACATATTACTCATAATTTGACATATTACTCATATGTGGAAAACAGTGTCACTTAAGTGTATCTGTTTGGTCTTTGGAGAACATGGACAAGTGGACAATGGTGCAAGGCAGCAGTCTGCTTTTTTTTCAGTAAAACCAATGGTATTATATATTATTTTTTTTTCTTTCTGTATCAAGCATGAGGCTGCTGTGATTTACCTAACAGCTCCCATATGTTGGGCATGTTTTGACTCCAAATGATGAGCTGCTTTTATTTATTCATTTTTTCCTTTCCACAATCTGTTTTTAGCTCAAATACAGGGTGGAGAAAGACCGAAAAAAAAGAGCCAGACAGAAAAAGAGAGACAGACAGAAAAACAAATTAATTATTCTTGCATTGGGACATTTTTTCAAACTCCTTTTATGGTCCATAAAAGAAAGAAGGGCATTACATTAGAGCCCTTCTTAAACTTGAACTATCCCTATAAATGGATGCTTAAAGGAGTAGTTCACTTTAAAAAAAAAAAACTTTGCTGATAATTTACTCACCCCCATGTCATCCAAGATATCCACGTCTTTCTTTCTTCAGTCGAAAAGAAATTAAGGTTTTTGATGAAAACATTCCAGGATTTTTCTCCATTTAATGGACTTCAATGGGGTCCAAACGGTTCAAGATCCAAAAGACAGTTTCAGTGCAAACTGCAAACTGTTCAAAGGGCTTTAAACGATTCCAGACGATGAATAAGGGTCTGATCAAGCGAAACGATCGCTCATTTAAAAAATAAATAAAAACATTTAAATTTTATAAGCACAAATGCTCGCCTTGTTTGTGTTCTGTTCGAACTCGTTCATTTTGATGAACAGGAGAGTCACGAACGTGCATCACAGAACAGAGAAGGCGAGCATTTGTGCTTATAAAACTTAAACGTTTTATTTACTTTCAAAATGAGCGATCGTTTCACTAGATAAGACCCTTATTCATCGTCTGGTGTCGTTTAAAGCCCTTTGAAGCTGCACTGAAACTCTCATTTGGACCTTGAACCGTTTGGACCCCATTGAAGTCCATTATATGGAGAAAAATCCTGGAATGTTTTCATCAAAAACCTTAATTTCTTTTCAACTGAAGAAAGAAAGACATGGACATCTTGGATGGCATGGGATGACATTTAAAGTGAACTACTCCTTTAAGTCATTTAAAGATTACATGCCCTACTTTGTACATTAAACTGTATTATTCAAGATGCTCCAAACCACCGTTGTTTGGCAGCGGAGATCAGCACTGAATTTGCTTCACTAAACTTGTAAGATTGCCTGAACCTCAATAATGCAAGTCAGCATCAATGTCTAACATCAGTGTGGAACACTTGTACAAAAGCCGATCATGCATTTTTAGGAAACTATGCACAGATTGCGCCCTGTTAGCCACTTATGTGTTGCGTTATGGATCCCTTGAATAAATTAAACCGATTTCATGGCAAAAAAATCCAGAAGATACTAACCACTAATTCAGAGAAGCGGGCATGCAGTTCTTCCTCTGGGGGCATGGGTGCACTGAACTCCAGCAGCTGCAGCGGGACACTGTCTTTCAGGTTGATCTCAGGAGGTTCACTGCTACTGAAGCAGCACAGAAAGCCCAGGGCGGGCCGCGTGCGCTTCCGGGGAGGCATCCTCTCCGATCAGGAGGAGCCGGCAACCAGAGAGCCAAGAGTCTGCTATCTATGGGGCATGATCTGAAAGAGAGAAGAATCAGGATTTAATTAGGACAACACAAAACGATAACATGTTAAAATGACATGAAATACCCGTTATCATATATAGTAGTGTTGTAGTCAAGACCACTTGACCCGAGACCAAGACCAGTCTATCGAGAATTTTAGGGGCCGAGACCAAGACAAAACCAAGACCAGCGCCCCACACTACACGACACAATAAAATGTAAAATATGATCAAAAGAGATTGATCTGAAAGATACACATTCCCATTAAAAACAAACACAGATATTTAACCTTTAAAGCTGAAATAAGCTATCGTTATTCAATACTCCGGGGTGACCTCCATCATTTAGTACTGAATGTAAAACAAGTCTTCACTTTTCTCCGCCTTTTACTCAGTGGTGGAGGAAGTACTGAAACTCAGTACTTAAAGGGTTAGTTCACCCAAAAATGAAAATTCTGTCAGTATTTACTCACCCTCATGTTGTTCCAACCCCGTAAGACCTTCGTTCATCTTCGCAACACAAATTAAGATATTTAAGATATTAAGATCACTCCTGCATACTAGTCCATAGGCTTCTTGAGGGAATGACTCTTGCTGGCCTCGAAAAGTCATTAAAGTCATCGTTAAAATAGTCCAAGTGACTACAGGGGCTCAATCTTAAGTTTATCAAACGACGAGAACACTTTTTGTGCGCAAAAACAACAAAAATAACGACTTTATTTCAACTATTCGTTTATTTCTCCCTGTGCGCGAGTCAGGTTACTAGTTTAATAGCGTAAGCTTCTGTTATTGTACGTCACACGCATCACACACATGACCAGCGTCGGCCAATAGTGAGCCTACGTGTGACGTAGCTTTACGCAATCACACTACGTTAACTGACTACAGGCTCATGGAGAAGGAAGTGAATAGTTGAAATAAAGTCATTATTTTTGTTGTTTTTTTGCGCACAAAAAGTGTTCTCGTCGTTTGATAAAGTTATTAAGATTGAGCCCCTGTAGTCACTTGGACTATTTTAACGATGTCTTTAATGACTTTTCGATGCCAGCAAGAGTCATTCCCTCAAGAAGCCTATGGACTAGTATACAGGAGTGATCTTAATATCTTAAATATCTTAATTTGTGTTGCGAAGATGAACGAAGGTCTTACGGGGTTGGAACAACATGAGGGTGAGTAAATACTGACAGAATTTTCATTTTTGGGTGAACTAACCGTATTCACTTTATAGCCCTTAATCCTGTAATTGTGGACAAATGTGGGCAACAGAGGACTCCTAATTTTTTTTTATTATAAATGTTATATCACTGTCTTCGATAAAGTTTTGTCAATCCATTTATTTTGGGGGTATTTTTGAATTTATTTACTTCAAAAAGTACCATATTTCCTATGTAAATTATGTTTATCTTTATGTTATTTTTTAACTACATTAAAATATCATTCCAATAAGTTCTTGGAGCTAAAACCTAAAGTGATTTTGCCGTCACCTGGTGTCTTATTTTGGCTAATTTTAGAATGCTCATTTCTATGGGTGCCTATTTTTGACCCAAATACAAGATTAAGATTTTTTTTTCACCCACTTAACATTGTAGAATTGAGTCAAAAAAATGGTGTGTGTTCAGGAGGCAAACTTAGTAAAAGTAGCCAAAATCTTGTACTGGCCAGATCAAGGGAAGTATTTTTTTTTTAAATAAGTTTGTCTAGAATACGGTTTTAGGGTTAAACAGTAATAAATATACACAAAACAATATCAAAATGCAGAGTATTCACCAAAACACAGTCAGATTTGTTCTAAGTGAACGTAAACAGTCGAGAAAGAAAATGCATGTGTAACTGTGTAATGGATCAGTGTGTCTGGTCTTAAAGTGACAGCAGCCAATTATTAAAAATACCTATATGGCAGTTTTCCCCCATGGCATCAATGTCCAATTTGTGGCCAGTGAAAATGCTGAGTGGCATAAACAACTAGCCACAGTGGCTGGTGAGCAAAAAAGGTTCATGTCAAGCCCTCTATACCACAAAACCGAATTGTTTAAATGCATTGAAAACCAAAAACATGTTGAGAGTTTAGAACAGCCCTCCGTACTGCCCGATATGTTCATCCCTCATTAATGTACCCATGCACTGATATTGAATCTAAAGCAGTTTCACAGCAGTCCAGCAGCTTTAATTGCTCAATATCAGAATGGGAACATCAATGAAAGACTGAACCCTTCACTGTGTGGAGTGGCCATAAAGGAGCTCTCCAACGCTTCTTCGGTCCGTGTGGGCACAGAGAAAGGAACCTCCTGGCACCTCTCTGGATGTGCTGGCATAACCCCCAGGGCGCTACAAAGACCTCTCTGTTTGCAGGCTACAATGATCGCCAATGGCAAAAGGGAGAGCATGAGTAATTGCCATAAGAGGCGGCCGTACCCATCACATTCACCGGAACGGAGAAAACACAAATAAAAGTGGCAGTCTTGTTTATTTCAGATTATTTCTCAAACCCTAAAAGACAGGTGCAAGTCTAGGTCCAATCTAATACATAATCTAAATAGCTTGTCCAAGATGAACGCAGGCCCGCTTGAGCTGATCAAACATCTAGACCAGTCCAAACTGGCTAAAAACTTATGTAAAATCCCATCTAAAATCATTAAATTGCTTTTGATTTCCATCCCTAGGAAGTAGGGAGCACAAGATAACGCGGGGCTAGTTGTAACACACTTGTTTTAAATACTTCCACACAAATTACAACATTTTTTCTTTTGTCAAATCAACTTAAATAATTGATTTAGTTCAGATAACATATAATTTTGAGTTTCTGATGGTTAAATTAATCTCCTTCATTGTATTAACTCACTTTTTCCAGTTCAATGAACTTAAAATTTTAAGGCAACCAGGTCACTTACTTTAAGTTAAACCATCAATATTTTTTTTTTACAGTGAGATGAAACATTAACTTAAGTAAGAAATGTACTTTTGCTATGGTTAAATACGTAAATGTTCAGTAATATCTTACAAAGATTTCTGAATTTTGGCGCAATTTCTCTTTATAATGTTGAAATGACAACTAAATACACCAAGTTTCGTCATACACTGTAAAAAAATATTGATGGTTTAACTTAAAGTAAGTAACCTGGTTGCCTTAAAGTTTTAAGTTGATTGAACAGGAAAAAGTGAGTTAATACAATGAAGGAGATTAATTTAATCATCAGAAACTCAAAATAATAAGTTATCTCAACTAAATAAACTATTATAAAGTTGATTTGACAAAAGAAAATATGTTGTGTTGTGATTTTTTAAAATATTGTTGGTTTAACTTAAAAAAGTAAGTAACCTGGTTGCCTTAAAATTTTAAGTTCATTGAACTGGAAAAAGTGAGTTAATACAATGAAGGATATTAATTTAACCATCAGAAACTCAAAATAATAAGTTATTTCAACTAAATAAATTATTATAAAGTTGATTTGACAAAAGAAAATATGTTGTGATAACAAATCTTGAAAATATTTTTTTACAGTGTAAAATTAGACAAATCTGATATTATTTTAATCTCCAATCTGTTGTTTAACAGTTGATATTAATGCTTCGCTAACTAGCAGGGTTTAAACCCCAGTTGTGCAGTTGGGGCATGTTGTCACACTGCGTTACAATGTGCCCCTATTAGAAATACGCTATTATATTCAATCAATACTTTTATGAACTCTATTGAGAAAACACGAGAAACATGTAAATAAAGACTGAGGGTCAATGTTCAGAAATGATTAATTATTATTTTGTTTTGAACTATGCTGTATAGCTGCGTTTTCCGGGGTGTTTGTTGTCAAACAAAAAAATGAGTATATTTTTAATTATTAAAAAATGCCATTATTTTACATGAAAAAGTTAATAATTGTATTTTATTAAGAAAATATTTTTGTTTGACTTGTATTTTTTTTTTATTAGATCAGATTGCTTTTTAAGCTGTTATATGGTGACGTTACAATGTACCCCACCTATGGGGCATGTTGTCACATTTCACTTCCATTCTTTCGGGGTAAATCAAGAAAAAAGTATACACTGTATTAATAAAACAAATCCACATAATTATACTAGACATGTGGTAAATTAATGTGGGGGAAAAAAATTCTCTAAACCCTAAGTAGATTTACACAAATCAACAAAGTCAAAAAGTGTTACGTCGTGCCCCGCTCTCCCCTAAAGCCCATCAATAATGCATCAACAGTTCTAAATGAAAAATTACATCACCGCATAACCATAAAGTTATTTTTTACAGCTTCTACATAAATTCTTCATGCAGTTTGCTTGTACAGCTCTCAAATAAATGCAGCAAAGGCTTTCATCTGCATACATTAAAGGAAGCAGACTTAAACATCTAATATAGCCAATGTACTTTACAGATATGAACCCTTTTCTTCATGGCATACTCCACTTTTTTTGGAAATAGGCTCATTTTACCTCTCCCCCAGAGTTAAACAGTCGAGTTTTACCGTTTTCGAATCCATTCAGCCGATTTTCTGATATTTAGATAGAAGAATATCAGTAACCAGACCGTTTCTGATCTCATTGACTTCCACAGTAGGAAAAAAATATACTATGGAAGTCAATGAGACCAGAAACGGTCTGGTTACTGATATTCTTCTAAATATAAAAAAAAAATAAAATAAAAAAATAAAAAAATCGCCTGAATACATTCGAGAACGGTAAAACCCAACTGTTTAACTCGAGCCTATGAGCCTATCAAAAAAAAAGTGGAGTATCCCTTTAGTAAAGCGACAACATTCTGAACATAAACGCAGCAAAGACAAACACAACTTTAGCACAGAGATAAATTTAGGTCCTAACTTTAATAATTTAGTTAGTGTGATGTTAAGTCTCAGATGCTCATGAGGATGGTAAGGAGGGATATCTGTGCAGCAAGAAAAAACAAATCATTTACATTATGAGGTTCGATTACGGATGAGATGCAGTGCCGACACATGCAGTAGAGACTGGCTTTTGCAAATGAAAGACAGGACCGCCATTTCTACAGCTT